AGGGTTTTTTTTTTTTTTTTTTTTAAAAAGATTTTATTTATTTGTGAGAGAGAGAGAGAGAGAGAGAGAGCACAAGCAGAGGGAGAGCCAGGCAGAGGGAGAAGCAGGCTCCCTACTGAGCAAGGATCCCGATGCAGGACTCGATCCCAACATCATGACCTGAGCCAAAGGCAGATGCTTAACCCACTGAGCCACCCAGGTGTCCCTCCAGGGAGGTCTTGAACCTGAGGAGACCTCTGGAATGCTGCCTGCTGAGTCCTCCTCTGCACTGGGAGGCCCATTTCCTGGCAGGACTCAGATTTTCCACTCAGTGGCACCGAGGGAGGGAGACTTCGGCCACTGGCTGCTGCTTTGAGTCACAGGGATTTCCCTGAACCCCTCCCAGTCTGGGCCCAGCGCCACGTGGCCCCTTGGTGGTCCTTGAGTCCCTCCCTGGAGCTTGTCTTCCTCGCTCCACTGTGGAAGTCCCCGCCAGAATGGTCTCTCCTTCACTGAGAGACCTGGGTCTTCCATGTTTGCTGGGAGGCAGAAAAGGAATGAATGATTTTCGGCCAAAAAGCCTGGGTTAGAATCCCAAAGCTGCTTCCAACATTCCTGAACCTCCCACCTGGGAAAGGGGTGATAACATCTGCCTCAGAGAGCGGCAGGAGGACTGACGGGCCCATACATGCCTAGGATGCTCGTGTCACCCTGGGCATGTCACCAGGGCCTTTGATTCTTGATGTTTCCCTCCTTGGTCCTCGGGCCTGGAGCACAGCTGCAGAAACCAGCACCCGACAGCCTAAAAGCAGATGCCGTAGACAGACAGCTACAACCACACCCTCGTCTTCGCTCTGCCACCCTTCTATGTCTTTTGGTATTTTTCAGCCTAATGCCTCACAGCGACTAAATTTCTAAATTTCTTTCTCTCTCCACAAGCCCATAGTTCTTCCTCATACCCCACTTCTGGGAAAATAATGTCCCTTTCCTTCGCTTCCTTCCCTCCCTCCCTCCCATGTGTCTGAGTTACGGGAGCCTGCCCCCGCGAAGTCCTACACTATGCTCTCTCTCTCAGAGGCTCAGAGAAAGTTCTGTCCCTTGCCCACCCCCCGCCATGCTGCCCCCAGCACTGGGCCTGTGTCCTGATCCTCCCCATACACAGTCTCCCTGGCCAGCTCCCTTCTTGTTACTGCCCAGCGTCTGTAACTTGCCCCTTCTCCATGATTCTCGCCCTTGCCTGTTAATAGGTGCCAAGCCCCACTATTACAGTCCTCTTAGGAGCGCTCATGTCCCCAGCCCTCCAGTTGTGGCTGCCATCTCCTCACCACTGGAGTTCGAGGAGAGGTGCTTACCTATCTCTTCGCACCCAGCACTGTCCCAGTTTCTGTACTTGGGTTCCCCTCTCTGCCGAGCCCTCCAGAGCCGACTTCTTGTCTGGCTCAGGAGCTTTCCCCCAGGCTTCCTTCTGCCTGACCTTCCTCAGTCCTCAGCCTTCTTGGCTTGTGGGACAGGGCAGTGTCCTGGTTTCATTCCAGTCTCCCCTAATGGGAGATGGGCAGGGGGAGGGGTTGCTCCCCAGGGCACAGCTCTGGGGTCTCCTCATTCTTCATACAGTTCTCCTTGGGGCCCTCATCTGGCCCGTGGCTTCAGCTGGTGCCACCTGGTGTCCACACCTGTCTGCAGCCTCTCCTGGACTCTAGGGGTAGAAGGGCCTGGCACAGGACCTGCCTCCTCCGGGGGTTGGGGGTTGAGGACTAAGTGAACAGCACTGTAAAAATGCTCAAGGCTTCCCTCAGTAAGTGCAGTCCAAGCTTGCTCTTGTCACCATGTAATAACAGCCCCCGTGGGACTGCTCCCTGTCCCCTCGCTCTTAACCTGCCTGTCCCTTGCCCCTCCGTGTCCAGTCCAGTCCTTTTGGTTTCTCCAGCACCCTGTCCTCTTGCTTACCATCGCTCTGACTCACCAGTAGCCCTGGTCTGGGAAGCTGTGTTCCCTCCCCCGCCCCTTTCTCTAGCCTGCCTGAGCCTGGCCTCTCAGGTGGGTCACAACTGAGGGGTCCTTTCCCTGGCTCTCTACGCCTGTGCTGTGGCCACTGCCATGCCCTGACATGTATGGGTCTTTTTCTTTTGTCCCCCATGAGGCTACAATGAGGGCAGGTCCTGTGTTGATCTTTGTCAGTGTCCTAGGGCTGATAACATCATTGGAGCAAAGGAATGAACCCATCCTGTCACCCATCCCTCATTCCAAGACCAGTTCTGCCCCAACACGCACAGACGTGCATGTCTTTTCCCGGAACACTCCTCGGTGTCTGGAGAGATGGGGTGGCTACTCCGGCCGGGGGATGGGGGCAGGGGCCTCTGGCTTCTGCAAGGGGAGAACCACACAGCACCCACCAGAATGTGCTTTCACTGTGTGACCAGCCACCTCAAAGGGCCTTTACAGGCTGATTCATTCAGGTGCCTTGTGTTAGAAATGAGTCTGCTTCCTGGACGTGAGGTGGCTGAACTCAGAGCCAGAGGAGAAGCCGGGCCTCTGCTGCTCGGCTGGGTAATGACTTCCCATCACAGTGACAATTTAACTGTGTTCCCGGTGAAGGCCTGGCCTCCGCCCTTGGGGCGTGAACCGAACCCTTTCCCCCCACAGGAGGCACATGGCAGTCCCGTGGCCCAGCAGCACTGACGTCCTCGATGCTCCTGTCGGGTGTGTCGGCCGGTTTGGAGGCCGGACTTGGAGTGGGGCTGTGAGCCCGCATTCGTTAGCTGTGGACTTTGTGCTCATGTGGCAGTTATTGGAATATTCCAGCCACCTTTGTAATAGTTGCTTCTCGGGGGCTCAGGGGCCAGACAGGTGGGAGCTGGGCCTTGGATGGAATTCTCCATGCTCTGCCGGTTGACCCTTAGCATTGCTGGCATTTTTTCCCTGTTGCTTACGTATAAGGGTGCCCTAAGGAGATTGCCTTCTTCCCAGGTCTTGGTTTTTACGTGACTGCTATATTTGAACCCTTGATCTGTCTGAAGCCTTTGCACCAGGTTGGTCCAGAGAGCTGAAGCCTTTGCGCCAAGTTGGTCCAGAGAACCAGGGCAGGCAGAGTAGTGGGCTGTGAGTAGGCTTGGTGTGGGTTCTATTCCTGCTCTCTCTGGTCACGTGTATCACCGCCTCTGGCATCAGTGTCCCCTGCTATAGAATTCTGAATCCCCCTGACTTAGAAGCCTGCCAGTCAGAAATGCAAAAATGCTCAAGTTTTTTTATGTTGGCCACACGGGGACTCCATTACCCGTGGGCAGAGGCCCAGCCTCCTCTAGGTCCAGACCCCACCCATCACCAGCCTTGTTCCTCAGCCCTCCCTGTAACACACTCTGGGCCACGCACACCATGCTGCCTTTCATTCTGTGCATGCCCCGTGCCAGGGATAGTGGGAGATGGGAGCAGATGCAAGCATGGCCCAGCATGGCTCTGTTCCCTCTTATTCTCTTATTAGCCACCACCACCCCTGCCTCCCCACTCCCGCCCCAGACAGAAGGCAGGGGAGGGGTGGGCTTTTCCTTTACTCAGGGGCTTGTACAGGGGGTGAAAATGCAAGTGGAGACCAGGCTGGTGAGACCATCACAGATGCACTGTAGGCATCCAAGGACTGTCGTGGGTGCACCTCTTACCCAAGCTGAACCCCCATCTTATGAAGGAAGGGGTGGTTTTATTTTGCTGCTTTACCCCATTCGGTTCTCCCAGCTTCTTCAGGCTGCCCTCTGCTGGACAGTCCTGGGAACAGGGTCTAGGGCTCCAGTCACTGTCGCCCAGAAAGCCCTGGGGATTGGGAAACAGAGGCAGGCTGTGGGATTTCTTTCTGGGGACTGCTCCCCTAGGCCCATTTCCTGTTAACATAGACGAAATTCTTTGTAACGCTCAGCCCTCGCCAGGTCACCTGCAGCTGTCTGGTGTTCCTGTGGACTTTTGTTTCCGGCCCACGGAGGGAGCAGTCTAGCAGCATCTGAGATATGCTAAGGGTAGAAGACTTTCCTGAGGTTGAACGTGTCATGCAGCAGTCAGGAGCTCAGAGGAGTGCTAGCTCCCGCTCTTCCTAGTTGCGTAGATCTCGGGCAAGTTGGATCGCTGACTCATCCCCGGACGAATGATGTCTGGACGCTCAGTTTTAGCACCGGACATCCTATGCCCTGAGAACATCGTCTGAGCCGGGCGAGCTGGCCAGGGTGGTTTGGCACCGTGTAAACTGATGAGCTTCTCTAAGCCCCAGTGCCATCTGCAGAAGGAGGATTACCTACTTTCCGGGGTTGCTGTGGGGACCGTGGGGACAATGATAGTGCTTGTGGAGTGCGAAGCAGGTGAATCCACTTTTCTGGAGCTGTCTTCGCACAGTGCCACGAATGGGGTGGCCTAGAACAGTAATGTACTATCTCACAGCTCTAGAGCCCCAGAGTCTGAAATCAAAGTGTCAGCAGAGCCGTGCTCCCCTTGGACCTGTAGGAGAATTCTCTGATGCTACTTCCGGGCTTCTGGAAGCTTTCTGGCTCTTTGGCAGTCCCTGACGATAGATGGCTCCCTCCAGTCCTCCGTCCTCACATGGCGTTCTCTCTGTGTCTCTCTTCAGGGGGCTAACTTTTCTGGGTACATGTCTGTCCCTCAGTCCAAATTTCCCCTTTTTATAAGATCTCTGGTCATACTGAATTAGGGCCTACCCTAATGACCTCACTTGAGCTCGGTTATCTCTGTAAAAACCCTATTTCCAAATAAGGTCATATCTTAGGGACTAGGAGGTAGACTTCAGTATACCTTTCTTTGGAGGGGGGCACACCATTCAGCCCATAATAGCAGGGTTTGTTATGACCATTACTGTCGTTTGTGTCCTTGTCTTTGCAATCATCACGAAACCAAGAGTTTCTAAGCAACAGCTCCTGCCCCAAGAGGAGATGGCATGATGAAGAAAAGCTGGCTTGGTGGTTGGAATTCTGTCCCCTGGATGCAGAGACAGCCCCTCTAACTTCGGGGCTTTGTTCTCCTTGGTGCAGGTGGAGCAGATGAGGGCCGAGCTCCTGCAGGAGAGAGCCATCAAGCAGGACTTGGAGTGTGACAAGATTTCCCTGGAGAGGCAGGTAAGGCTGGTCTTAGATTAGACCACCCTCAGTGGGATCTCCTTTGCATGGCACCCCAAGAACTCTGGGGCCTAACTCACCTGAGAGGTGGAGGTGTTCTGAAGGCCTTTTCCAGAGAGGTTTTCCCAGTAATATTAAATCCGCTTGGAAACTGAGCAGCTGCGGGGGAGGACTTGCAGGTGGCGTCTTCTAGATCCCAAGAACCTAGATTCTGACATAAAGGGAGTGAAAAAGAGCCATGAGTTGCCAACAGAGCTTCCTGGAATCGTTTCTTTTACATGCTATTCATGTAAACTCTTTACCAAGATCCTATGATATTGGCGCAGGAGCTGATTTCTCCTGCCATCCCCACCTCCCACATACGTTTATACAAAAACAAGACCACGCCTGTTGGCCTGACATCCAGGAGCCCTACGGCAGCCAAAGATTTCACTTGGGTTCACAAGGGAATGTGGTAGAATCTCTTCTCCTAGCCTGCCAGGAGCCGACGCAAGGCCTTTCCCTGGAGACGTGCCTGGCTTCCCCGGGTGCCCCGGGGCCAGGATTCCTGGGTGGGGGCCCGCGGTCCTTGCAGTGGCTGACCGTGGGCGTGCCCCAGCCCACACTACCCTGCATGGAGAGCGTGGGAGACACATGAGCCCTCACAGCACCCCTGTCTGATTCCAGAACAAGGACTTAAAAAGCCGGATTCTCCACCTGGAAGGCTCCTACCGGTCCAGCAAGGAGGGGCTGGTGGTGCAGATGGAGGCCAGGATCGCTGAGCTGGAGGACCGTCTGGAGAGCGAGGAGAGGTGAGACTGGCCGGCCAAGGTGCAGAGGCCTGGCAGGCAGTGGTGGTCTTACTGCACAGTGCGTTCCCATTTGTGTCTCTTCCTGTCCTCACAAGCCTTCCTCTGAGGAAGGCAGAGCAGGACAATAGACAAGACAAGCAAGACCCAACCCAGTAAGCACTGGGAAGGTAGGCGGCTGAGTATTGGCCAGCGGACTACAGCGCAGGCCTCCCATGCCTGAGCCCCCAGCTACCGCACTGTGCTGGCTGTTTCTCTCCACCCCGCAGCACACCAGACTGCCTCATTGGCTACTGAGTTGGAGCTGGAGTTGAGGCAGGGGGTCGACTTTCCCCTGGGGCCAGAGTTTTTAGAGCAGAGGCCAGTGCTGGCTCAGAAATGGGCAGGACCCCCATAGTGGGTGGAAGGCATTTGGGATCAGAGGGCTGCCCTCCTTTCTAGCAGATTCTCTGCAACCTAGCTCCGAGATCATAGCCTGAGGGCCAGCACCAGCTTGAGCCTGGCTGGCCTCCATTCTTACTCCTGGCCCCTCAGCTTCCTGGAAGAGGTGAGGCGTGTGTGCACAGAGCATTGTACATTATCTGTTTTTAGTAGGATCTGGGGCTGGGCTAGAGCAGCCTGGAGCAGACCCCCATTGCTCATGCTCCAGCAGTCGGGGACCCCCCTTTCTTACAAAGTAAAGCTTGGGACTGGAAGAGCTCGGGGCAGCTCCCATCCCAGCTCTGCCTGTCCCTGGATCTGCAGTCTCAGGCCAGGTGCTCCCCTTTGTGGAGCCCCCATTCCCTCACCAGTCCAGGGAGCAGCCCTTTCCTCCCAGACTGACTGCCGTGTGTCTCCAACCCTAAGCCATGAGTTGACCGGGCCACCTGGCTGGAGCTTCTGTTCCTTCACAGCCTGGCCGGGCCTCCTGGGGGGCTGGATGAGAGGGTCCTCGGTTGTGTTCCCTCTGCCCTTCCAGGGACCGGGCCAGTCTGCAGCTGAGCAACCGCCGGCTAGAGCGGAAGGTGAAGGAGCTGGTGTTGCAGGTGGATGATGAGCACTTGTCCCTGACCGACCAGAAGGACCAGGTGAGGCACCTCACGGTCAGATGAGACTTCCTGCCCCAGGCAGGCGGGTGGTAGAGCTGTGGAGGCCAGTCCTGTCCTCCCCTCTCCCCAGGCACGTCGTGGAACAAGGGGGCCTTTCCAGACTACTTTAGCAGGGGGTTCAGCAAACCTTGAGCCCCGGAGCCGAGACGGTTGCTCCCTTGCTGTCCCGTGGTCGCCTGGGGAGACGCGGCTGGACTGCGGGCCCCTCTGTGCCGGGCTCTCCCCGCCCCCGCCGGGCTGGGCGGCCCGCTGCGGGGCTCAGCCTGCCGGCTCTTCCCGTGCAGCTCAGCCTGCGCCTGAAAGCCGTGAAGCGACAAGTGGAGGAGGCGGAGGAGGAGATCGACAGGCTGGAAAGTTCTAAGAAGAAGCTGCAGAGGGAGCTAGAGGAGCAGATGGACGTGAACGAGCAGCTGCAGGGGCAGCTCCACGCCATGAAGAAGGACCTGAGGTGGGTGAGAGCGGCGGCCCCGCGGTCCCCCGGCGCTGAGGCAAGCGCAGTGCTGTCCAGGCGTGCTCATGGCTGCCGTGTGACGCTGGCTCCCCCGGCCGCCGCGCGGGGTTATCCCATCCCACAGCTGAGACCGGCCGCGTCCGCTGCGGTCCCCTCGCCTGTCATCCCCATCCCTGTCCCGTGCTGTCAGCCAGGCAGGTTTCATCCCGCTTATCCATAAGGGGAAACTGAGGCTCAGAGCAGGAGGCCTAGCCCCCAGCACCCTGGTCCCCTAGACCAGCCCTTAGGAGTCCTGCTTTTAGGGAGAAACAAGATACAGCTTGGCTTCCTATCCTTGTGAGGGCAAGATGGTCCCAGCGAAGACAGAACTGACTCTGATACTCCCCTGCTGTGATCGGAAGGGGTGTGGGGTGGGGGTCCCTTTCCCCACCCCAGGGTCACTGGGGTGCCGGGTGAGTTTCGGTTCACACTCGTGCATAGAGCTGAGCCTTTCTCGGAGGCTGGCTATGTGGGTAGCCCAGGTGGTTCTCCTGGAAATGGGCAGAACACCCCAGCCCGTTGAGAATCCAGAAATGGGGCCTGTCCATCAAGACCCTGGCCCCAGGACTGGCATTAGGGTGCACCATTTAAGGGGGCACCCAGAATTTCAGTAACCAAGGTAGATAATTAATGCACTACTGTAAAACGTGAATGCCAACAACCCACGGTAAACCAGCTATCAACGTTTTTCATTACGACGGGGTCAGTAACAGCACCCCAATGAGACACACCGTAGCTTGAGGTGAAAGGAAAATTACCAGGACTGCTGAACTTGTCCCATCCCTATCCGGCCCTCCCTGGCAACACCGGCCGCCCATGGGCTGTTTGCTCCCTGTTGCCGGAGGAACCCTTGGGAGCAGACTGGTTCCCGTCCTTCTGTGCCATCCCGGCGGCGGGGGCGGGGGAGGGGATGGGAGCCCCAGACCCTTCCTTCCTCCCCTGACCAGAGACCGGCTGCAGCCCAGGGCCGAGACATGTGCCCCTGTCGTTTCAGCAGACTTAAGAAGCTGCCGAGCAAGGTGCTGGACGACACGGACGATGATGACCTCAGTACGGACGGGGGGAGCCTCCATGAGGCACCGCTGAGCTACACCTTCCCCAAGGACGGCACTGCCACCAGTCAGATCTGAGGCCCCTCCCGGGGCTGCGGCGGCCGCCGGTCATGCCTCGCCGGGCCCAGCAGCCCGCCGCCCGCCACAGGGAGCAGGAGAGGCAGCGTCTACGCAGGGCGGACCCCGGAGACCCCCGCGCCTCCCCCTCACAGAACAGGCTGACTCCTCCATGTTGCATCCCTCCCGGGGTCTCTGAGTGGTGGCGCACCTCTCCTCGTCCGGACAGCTAGCAGTTTAAATGCTGATGCACAAGGCATAGGAGCCACCGCTCACTGTGGGGTTTGGAGGCTCTAATTCGGCGGGAGGGAGCTCAGGTTCTGCATAGCTGTCTGCCTTACCGTTTGCAGTGGTGCTCCTGCCCCCTCCTCCCTCCCCGGCTGAGGGAAAGGGTCCAAAACGCTAGTTGTTATCTAATAGCCGTTGTGCAGGGGAGGAGATGATGTATAGACTGTACATATTTGAATCCAGATTCTCCTGGGCTGCTGCTGTTTCCACTGTGGGATGTTCCGGAAGCTTCGTGGGGCGGCTTGTTTGTAAACTCCACACATCTGTCTTACTATTTTTTAAAACATGGAGCTACTAGATTTTAAGTATTAAGACGCAGAGATGAGAGAGGGTAGAACATAGACTACTTTTGACATCAGAGTTGGAGAAAACGGATTGTCATAGTGATAAGGGACAATTAATCCGGAGAAGAGAAATTCAAGTGTTGTCGGTGAACAACTTACAGGAGAGAAAGTCAGAAGTCACTGGTATCTGTAGCCTGCTTACTAATTTTATCTAGAATGACGTTACAATTTCTGAACCATGCTGAGACCAATTCCCAGTCACCAACTGCAATTTCTTTGCCACAGTTGGGGCGGGGAGACTTGTAAGTCAGGTTTTTGACAGATGATATGGTTTCCAGAGGGTTCGGGTCCTTCTGTCATTTCTTATTGGTCCTTTCCCCTCCTCCACCCATGTCAGGCCTCCGGTGGCTGCTGGGTGAGGAGTGGGAAGGTGTGAGGAAGAGGCAGATGGTATCTAGGAAGGTCATGGGAGAGGGAGGAGAGGAGGTAAGCAGGCGTGTATGCTTGTGGGGAGGAAGGAAGAGAGGGAAGTTTGTGAAAGCTGGGGGATGTGTAGCCAAGGGGCAGACTGAGCCGGATCTTGAGTTTATATCAGGAAAGTGAGGGGGATAAAGCTAGACAGGAGGTGTGTCTGTGCAGACTGGAAGGCTCCTCCTGACTTCCTGGGACAGAGGGACGTGGGCCAGCACCAGGCACGAAGTAACCGGGATTCGGTGAGTTCTGGGGCGAGGCCATATTGCTGGGGCAGCATCACAGGGAGTGAGGAATTGGAAACTTGCAGTCTTGCGTGGCTTTCCTGGTGTCACTGCCTACTGTGACCAGTCCCAGGGATGCCCAGAGACCAAGTCCAGGCACAGCTAGGCCCCCACAGGTCAGGGCCTGGGTAGAGTGGACAGCTCAGTAGGGCCATGGCCTGGGAGAGAACCACATAGGATGTACATGTATAAAGGGGCAGAGAGGATTGTGTTCAGTTGGGTCAGCAGTGTCCCCAGGTATCCTAAGAGATGGCAAGCCTGTGGACCAGAGAACTCCATGACAATTACCAGAAGAGCAGGGAGCTCCAGTGCCCTACCTACCCTAGGTCACAGAGCCCACCAAATAGGATTCAGAGTGATTGCCTGCTTCGAGGGCTGGTGTCACCAGCCCCCTTCCTCAACAGGCGGGGCTCCTGGAGCCTGGATAGCCAACCCCTCCTTCTCCTCTGCTGGCTCGGAGTGGACCTTGCCTCTGCTTACTCATTTGAGGCGTGGAGAGATTTGTCCCTTTCGCCATTCATTCATGGAGCCAGTAATTATTGGGCATCCACCATGTGTCAGACACAGTCCCTGGCACTGGGAACACAGCCGTGAATACAACAGACCCAGATCCCCTCCTGGAGTGCAGGACCATAGTCATACAAGGGGGCACAGAGGCCGAGCCCCTCCATACCCAGCCCTGGAGCCCCTCTGTCCTTTTGAGGACACAACAAACCTGACTCACTGGAATTCCCGGGGGGTTCTCCAACCCTCAATATATTCCTGATTTCCCTGCTGCTTCCAATGTCATTAGTTGTTTGCCAAGAGGTCTGCCTAAAAATGCCTCAGCCCACTCATAACTACAGGTGGGAGCAGAGAAGGTCAGAGGTGAAAGAACTTTAGGGGGCGAGTATCTATCTGGGGCTTGTGAGAAAGTCACTGTTTCTGGCCAGTTCTTGTGGTCAGTGGGAGGCTGGCTGCAAGAAGCAAAGGTATGCATGGAAAGAGAACAGAGATCCCTGTTAAAAAGCCTTGCATCCTCACGGTCAAAGACGGGCTGTTGTAAATGTTAACCCAGGTGACTCTCCCAGGTGACACTCTACATGGGCATGGCGCTGGCGGTGAGGCATGCAGTGTAGCAGGGTGGGAAGAACAGCCAGCTGGGCCTTGAGATATTTTCAAGTCCTCACTCTCCTTGCCCCGGTAACCTTGACAGGGGTGACCTTGATGGGGCATGTGCTCTCAGTGCCCAAGATCGTCTAGGATAAATGAGAACTGTGGTGCAAGGTCCTTTCCAACTCTGACATGCTCTTATTCTTTGATTTTATTATATACCCCCCCATTTATTGCTTTAAGAACTAACCCTACTCAATATTTCCTTTAGCTAGCTTGAAAAGAAAATATTTTATTTAATAAACCAATACGTGGCCAAATGCAATGCTGAGGAGACAATCATCGTATATCTTTTTAATTTTTTTTTTTTTTTTTTCCTGAGGCGGAGCGTCCATTGACAAAGGCAAGAAGCTTATTCTTTTGCACTTGGGCTTTGGGGATGTTTGACTGCTTTGGGTTGTCATGGGGAAGAGACGGTTGTGGGCAGCTACCTCCATGTACGTGAACTGGATGAAGCAAGATTGCCTTTCAATAAATGCTGTCACCCGACAGGAATCTTGACTCTGCCATTATTTTGACTCCCTTGTTTTCTCCAGAGCCTGGCTCCGGGGGCACCAAGAAACAGCCAAAGTGAATGGCTGCAGGCTGCTTGAGGAAGAGGAACGTGGTGGCATTTCATGCCTAGAACCGGTTTCTGAAATTAGGAGGGCAGGCACGGATCCGTAGTAAACACTGGGAGAATTAATATGCCTGCAGATTCTGGTGTTCTGAGAAACCCGACCTGCCCATTTGCAGAAAAAGGCAACATGGGAAGTGTGTTCATAACTGAGGATAAACAAAACACGTCCTGTATATTCCTTGTTCCTAAACTCAAATGGGTCCTCCTAAACTCAAATGGGTCCTCCTGCCATCAGAGTTTACACTTTATCTCTCTTGATTGATAGCAGGCTGACCACAGGTACCGGGGTCCCCAGTTTACGGAAAGGGGTTCCTTCTCCATGAGTGGGACCTATAGGGCTGGTTCTTTGTCCTCAGATAGATTCTCTGCCCTGCGGCCTGGAGGCTGATCCCTGCAGACCCTGGGCTCCCAAAATTTGGGGGTCAGCCAGGGGAGCACATAGGGGTTGGATATTTCTTTGTTATCATTCCCTGCTTTGTCCAACATTTTTGGCTGTGGCTCCTAAGGGGTGGGGGGGTGGGGGTTCCATCATGACTCCAGCTCCCACAGGACTTGGGTGACCCTATTTCCTCCTTGTGCCTCTGGTCCTAAGTTGGTCCTGGCTTCCTGCTGCTTTTCCTCTGAGCCCCTCAGGAGCCCTGGTGTGTTCCCACAACTGCCCACCCTCTAGTGCAGCTTTTCACTGAACTCTTTGGGCTCCTGCAAGGCGGTGCTGTTTCCTGCCCAGAGCTCTACCCACTGCCCCATCGATGCCCCCAGCGATGTAAACATCCCACCCATCCCACCCACCCAGCCATTGGCCCCTGTTACTCTGATTAGAGGGATATAAGTCTCAGATATAATGAGATTTTCTAATTTTAATAAGTCCTCAAAGATTTTGTATAGATGTTTGCTTTTTTCTTTAAGGTCAGATTTATTGAGGTATTATTTTATCATTTGTAGCAAGAAGTGTCCCTTTTGGTGTTATCTGCTTTTGAAACTACATTTATGCCCCTTGCCTTGGTCTATGTCTCTCCCCAGCTACCATCCAGGGTCCTCCTGGTGGGGATAGGAGACCCAAGGGGAGCCCAGAGCCAAAGGGAAAAGTCCTTCCGGGCCTGTGGCACCCTCGTCTGCATTCTCGACATTCCTTCCTTAAATTTGTTGATAGCAGCAGTGATCCTGTCTTTGTTGGTAGATTGTCATTAACCAGAAAGTTTTCCAAATTTTCACATGACAGGGGGAAATGACCTGACAGCCCATTCCTGGCAGGGGCTGAGCAACCCCACAGGGAGGTGGTGTGCCAGGCTTTGCAGAGGGACCTGCACGCCTTGATCCTGCTCTCAGACCCGTTGAAAATTATCGTAGGCATTCACGCCTGTCTCTGTGAGCAAAGCAAGATTTGAGCCCCATGCCAGGTTTACAATGTGCCAGCACGGTTCCAAATGACACTCAACAATACTACCCATTGTGCTGGGGATGTTTGCAAAGTTTCCCACCGCAAGGAATCCCCTTTGGTCTCACAACAGATTGTCAATGACTTCTTGGGTACGGGGAGCATGATTCCAGAGGTTTTCCGGGTAAACAGAATTAAATGATTTCATGAGAAAGGCAGAAATTTGGGCAGGTAAGGAATCGGAGGCTTGGAGAAGCTGGGTGTTTTGCCGGAAGTCACATCTGGAGTGGGGAAGGTCCCCCTGGGAGCAGAACCTGCCAGCCCAGGCCAGCTGTTGTAGCAAGTACAAGATTTAAGCTACAGTCTAGCACCTGTAGGAGCTTACAGTATAATTATCAAAATGGTGATTATTAAACTAAGTGGAAATTAGATTTAAGTATTAAGTCCTTCATATGTTTATGACATTACCAGATTTGTGTATTTTTCCCATTTATAGTCCCTGACCCAGGGCACGTGGTTGGAGATGGAGCTGTCAGGTCCAGAGTCTGGGTCTGGTTCTGGGGCTCTCCAGGAAGCTCTG